GAATCGAACCCTCTTTCTGATTTCTTCCCCTTATTAGGGTTAGAGTTTCAATCTGAACCAGATCGAATCCTCTGTTACTCTTCGGTTTCTTTTCAATTCTATACCACATACTAGATCTACACACTAGAACCTTGGCTCTGGTACCATTGGTAGGATCAAAAAGATCATCTAGGGTTAGGTCTAGCGGGCTCTATTTACTGTGAATGCGATATCGAGAGTAGAGGGACAGAGATGAATAGAAGAAGAACGTGTCGAACCTGACACCGCAGAGGGAGATGGTCCAGAAGCCGCCATCTCGTTCGTCGGTGAAGTCTGCGCACGGGCAACGACGTTCGAGGAAGAGGTCAATGAAGTCGTCGACGTCGGTGGAGCGGGGCGGCGCGGCTGGTGGCTTCCCGTCACTGGCTGCGCCCCTCTCTAATCGGGATTAGGGTTTAGGTTTCGGTGGTGAGCTCAGCTCAGGCGAACCTCGTACTCAGAGCCGCCGGCCCCCACCTCTATATATTGCGCAGTGTGACAGGGGCCACTAGTACAGAAATAAGCTGTACCCCCGGTTGGGAAACCTCTTCTGTCCCGGTTTTCCAACCGGGAGCACGAATCTGGGAGTAAACGGCCCCTCCTTTAGTCCCGATTTCTCGCCCAGGACACCTTTAGTCCCGGTTGGTAATACCAACCGGGGCTAAAGGGCCCCTCCTTTAGTCCCGGTTTCTCGCCCGGGACTAAAGGTCCAGATTGGAACAACACTAGACCTGGCAATACGGATGCACATCCAATTAAGTCCATCCAACGAAATTCAATAGAGCAACTAAACTTACGGACTTGAATGGATGATGAAATATAAACGCAGAATCAAAGATATAGAGCCACAAATCAAACGCATGCAGTTCATCCAGAATCATCATCAACATACGGATAGTAGGCAAAGACGACAGATACTAACATAACAGTCACCATACACGAACTCAGATGACAAAGGATAGATCAATCACCATACAAACTCAGATCCATCCACCCTAACATGACAGTACTGGTAGAGATACCATAAAACTCAGCAGATGATACTATAATACTAGTAGTAGCATATGAAGATAACTACTCACACCACCGACGGCTTGCTTTTTCCTCCTACGGGGCCACGCCGTCGACGGCCTGTGGAGCCTCCTCAGCCGCTGCCTCCTCCTCCTCCCTCACGAGAGCCGCGAAGCGGGTGACCGGCGCTGAAAGAACCTGCTCCCCGCCGTGGATGGGCTTCTTGACGATGAACACCTCGGTGCCCCCACCCTCCTTGACCATGACGCCGACCTTCTTTGGCTTCACCATCTTGGCGAGCGTGCGCGCGACGGCCGCGGGGTCGGCTTCGTGCAGCGGGAGGGGCGGGGTACTTCTCCATGGGCTGAGGGCGGCACGGGGTCAGGCGGATGACTGTGGTGGGATGGCGGAGACGGAAGCATATGGGTGGGAAGTGGGATGCCGATGCGAGAGAGAGAGAGGGGACTGGGGATGGGGACGTTGCTTTAAAGCCGGGAGTAGACTTTTACTCCCGGTTGGAGGGACTAACCGGGAGTAAAAGTTAACCTTTAGTCCCGGTTGGTAGCTCCAACCGGGACTAAAGGTCCCCTGTAGCAAAAGCCTATCGCAGTAGCCGTTGGCAGGGACCTTTAGTCCCGGTTGGAGCTATCAACCGGGACTAAAGGTTTCTCTAGTCTCGGACGCGAAAAATACCGGGACTAAGACCAAATTTCGAAGTGGATCAAAAGTCGTTTCTTTACTAGTGGGCCCTCCAGCCATAGTGGGCTGGGCGCCCCCGATCAGGGCATGGATCAAAGGCCCAACTAGGCCGTTGGGTTCAGTTTGGAATTAGAGATCAATCTAACATTCTTACCAAACATCTGCAAAGAAATCATGAATCGTGATCCGGGCTGCAACTGGAATGCGCACTGTCCTATGATCATTGTACCACGTAAGGCTGCCAAATGTGTAATCCCCTTGTAACCTCCACATAGGTGATAACTTGATCCGAAATGTGTGAACCTTGTTTGCAGCATTGAACACAAGAACCGACGGCTCAACTTCGATCTCGACTCCTGCAGGGCTCTCAACCGCAACGACGTGGTAAACTGCATCGACCTCACCAACATTTGTGATAGTTCTCGGCACGGTAACTGGATACCTCAGATTTGGAACCAAGACGGATGGCAGGTTCAAGAGATACCCTGGCACCGATGTTGCATTACAGCTAACGGATGTGTCGATACTGCAGCGAAAAGAATTGGTCGTAATCGATTGGATCGATGTCATAAATCAGGCCAGGATCTGCTGCTCTGTTAGGGTTGATGTGGCCACCTCCATAGTCAAATGGGTCAGCAATCTTCCTAGGCAACCCTTCAGCCAGTATGGGCATGCCGTGTTCGTCAGTCACAGATGCTTCACAATGCAAAAGAAACAGAGGTAAGGCAATTGTAGTGTTGCTGCCTATAGTAAACTATTCATGCGTTCGTAATCTGTGTAAATTAATGGTAGATTAATTGTTGTGCTAACATATTTACCAGTGGTGACAATAGCAGATTTGAGCGCCAGCAGGAGACCAGTCTGGGTGCAGAGATTTCAGCAGTGCAACTATGCCTGATACGTGTGGAGCAGCCATTGATGTCCCTGTGTCAAACTTATAGGAGTCTCTCATTGCTGCTAAGATGCTAGCTCCAGGTGCAGCTATGTCAGGCTGTTGAGGAAGAAACAGTAGTGGAGTTAAATACATATATGCATGGTTTGTCATGGCTTGAAGTAGTGCATACTGCCTTGGTATACCTTGATAACATCAGCGTAGTCGATGGATGGACCTCTGGAGGAGAAGGCTGCGACTTTGGGAGCCAGTAACTCTTTACCTGCAACGCTACGTGCTGGTCCAATCTTTGCCACCGGAGAGCTGCTTGTTAAAATTAAGTTAAAGCGATTAATCAGGAATTCATGCGAGAGAGGAAGCAGCTGCGATCCATTTTAAAAAGAAGAAGCTTATAATAATCAACAAGATGCACAGTGTACCTCGCGGCTCTCATGTATTTTAGAATCCAGCCAGTTCCCAGTGTCAATGTCCACAAGAACACAAGCAATTCCTCCACAGTTAGCTGTGACATCTAGAGAATTGGCGGCATATTGAGCGAAAATAAGACCCGAGCCCCCGGCAGCAAGGACGTTTCGCATCGCGTTTTGGAATTGTGTTTGAAAGCATAATGCAGTCTTGCCTTTCAAATCCGTACCATTCAGAGCTTCCGCTGTGCAGCTAACCAAACAAGGCAAAAATTAACTGCTCAGCAGCTTCAAGACGTGTGTGATGTAGATGTAGGGTGTAGCAAAACTTACAGCAGGGTGAAATTAAATAAAGTGAAATTTGTGGGTTGCTGAGCGTACAGGCCTGCAACGGCAAGGCCTCTGAAACTGCTCCCGGTTGAGTTCTTCTCTTGGTAGTACAGAGATTGTCCCTGCAAAATTGAGTAATCATCACTTAATAATTCTATACAAGTCAAAGTCATGCAAGACTAGTGGGATTAATTGTTCATCAGAGCGTGTAGCTAGTGTATTTGTATTCCGTTGTATAATGTATAGTATACCCACCGCTATCCGCTGCTTGTCTCCCAGCGTGATGACGGTTGGAAACGAGCGATCATCAATCGTACTCGCGGCCACGGTGATGACCCACGGAGCATTATTCGCAACGGACTGAGGCCTCGGACAGTTGTTCCCGCCGGTGAACACGACGGTGATCCCCTTCTGAACCGCATGCAGGGCGGCGAACGAGTCCTGGGAATCGGCGACGGCACCAAGGGACAGCGACAGCACGTCCACCCCGTCGTGTATGGCGTCATCGATTGCCGCGAGCATCATCGCTTCGCTGCCGCGGCCATTGCCGTCCTCTGTGAGCCAGAGTGATTTGTACACGGCAATGCGGGCGTGCGGCGCGCCGCCGCGCGCAACGCCCGCCGCGAGGCCGTGGAAGCTGGCTGCGTCCACGGCGGAGCCCGACGCGGTAGACGCCGTGTGCGTGCCGTGGCCGTTCGCGTCCCGGGCCGAGAGGTACTCGCTCCTGTGGAGGGGGAGGGCCTCCGTGTCGAGTCCAGCATCGAGCCCCCTACCACCGCTGAGCCCCATCCCCCCTACCCCCCATGCAGCCCTAGCGCTGGATCAACCACTACTTGCAACTAAATCGCCTAGTAGGACGAACCTCATCTTTCATCGTAAAGACGTTCGGACACCGTTTTTACAATCTAGATCTAGAACAATGGTGGTAGATGGGTTTAACATTGAAGAACAACTGATGCGATAGTTAGATGGATCAATGACCGACAAAAATATTGTCGAGTTTTTATAAAAACCGACAGTGATATGTAAACGTCACTGTCGGGTAGTGGCTTAACCCAGCAACACTATCGACTCACAATTCGGAATGGATGAAGTGACATTTAAGCCCAATTTGCCCTTGATCACTTTGCCCTACCTCAGCCGCAACTTAATTGGCCCGAATTATGATCGCTGTGACACCATAAAAGCAAAAGCCTGAAACACCGCTAAGACCTAAACAGGGCCCAAATATATCGAGTCCAGGCTAGGGCAGGGGAGGAGAGGTATTGCTATTGTTGTGTTTCCGCTTCAAACAACTCTCTGAAACCATTAGATCATGATGATGTTATTCTCCAGAAAATATATAAAATAAGATCCATACCTACAGAATATAATCTTTGTGTCATTCTGATATCACCAAGCCATGTTTTTCAATCTGTACTAAGCAGCTGATTTATTCTAGGAGTACTATTTAATTATGCGTGTACGTGCCCTGCGTGGAAACGTATATCCAGTGATACAACACGCGCTAGCTAATATACGAGTATACGAAATGACCAGCAGAGAGAGGCGAGTGTTGTTGTATTCCTCGATTCTTCATAAACTGTCGCAGTTGGCTGGTTCGAAGGACAGCATCTACTTCTCCACATCGTACCGGATATGATAGTTCATTTGCATGATGTTTCCGACAATGGACAGGCTCGGCGACTTCTGCACGATCCAGGAGCTGACGGTGTCGTCCACCGCCCCGAAGTAGTTCTCCGTCGGCAGATCCATATGTCGCCGCCGTCGAAGTGCAACACCATGGACGGGAAGACGGCGCCGGACGTCTGGAAGCAGACCTCATACCCGTCCCTGCTGGGGGCCATGGTGAGGTTCGCCGTCTGCGACAGGACGGCCGCCTTGGCCAGCGTGTACGCCGGCTCCGCGAGGAACGTCAGCGTGGTGCCGGAGTCGAAGATGATGCCGCTGCTTCCGGTTCCGGCCGTCGTCGCGGCGCCGATTGAGATGCTCTCCAGGTTCACGGTGTAGTAGGTGGATGTCTGCAGGAGCGGCGTCGACTGGACACCGGCGCCCGTCAAGTCGCCGGAGCCGAACAGGAGCGGGTTCGTCTTGGCGGCGTCGCTGGTGAGGCAGTAGGAGAAGGCACCGACCTTGAGCTGCGAGACGAGGGACAGCGGCCCGCTGCCTGTTGCAGATTTCATCTTGTAATCTTGTCAAGTATTGTATCGGCATGCAGTTGCATTGGTAGATGTTTCCATTCAGTTGTAAACATGTTTTGTAACGTGTAGAATCGCGCCTAAGGTGGAGACTGCCCACCTTGGGCCGTGACCGCGACTTAGGCCCAGCTCCCGCCATGGTGCGTGCGCCGTGCATGTCACACGGGTGTCCGAAAATAACGGCGCACCGTGTAGCTGCGCGTCGTGGCGGGGGAAGCGGATCGGGGCCGGTTAAAGACTGAACAATGCATCGAACACAAGCTGCGCCAGTTGCAGTGAATATCGCAATCTCTCTCGTGTGCTCTCGCTTCATCTCTCTCTCGCGTTCGCGGTTAGGGTTCTAGTCGCCGTGGTCACCACCTACCTGTGCCGTGCCGTCGCCGAGTCTCCTCGCCGGAGATCAGTTCCAACATTCTGGTATCGGAGCCCGGTTGATGTTCTACGGTGGCTCGGTGAGCCCATCGCGTGAACCGGCGAAGAAGAAGCGGGTGATTCCTCGGCGTACAACGACGGAGAAGAAGATGGGCGACAACGGCGCGTCGGGAAGTGGCAACCATGGCGTGCGCAAGAGCTCGCTGGTTTGGCCGATGCTGGACTAGGCGAACTATGCGGAGTGGGCGATGCTCGTCCAGTGCAACCTGGAGGCGTTGGAGATCTGGCATGTAATTGATCCGGGCACCAACGTCAAGAGATCGCAAGATCGCCAAGCCATGAGCGCGCTCCTGCGCTCGGTGCCGAAGGAGATGTGGCAGATGCTCGGCAACCACAAGACGGTGAAGGAGGCGTGAGAGGCAGTGCAAACGCAGATCGGGTGATGGAGGTGAACGCCCAAAAGCTGCTCCAGGAGTTCGAGAACATCGCCTTCAGAGATGGCGAGACCGTCGATCAATTCGGCATGCGCATCACCAACCTTGTTGCCATCCTCCGCACGCTGGGTGAAACGGTGGAGGACGCCCGCGTCGTCAAGAAGTTCTTGCGCGTGGTGCCTTCACGTTTCACGCCGGTGGTCGTGTCGATCAAAATGTTCTGCGACATGAAAACCATGAAGGTGGAGGAGCTCGTGGGGCGCCTGCGTGCGGCGGAGGACCGGCTCGACGTCAAGGTCGAGCACATTGTCGACAAGACGGGGCAACTCCTGTTGGCCGAGGAGGAGTGGATGGAGAAGCACAAACATCGGTTCCATGCGGGGCCGAAAGAAGGAGGCGGCGGTAGGTCCAGTGGCGGCTAGTCCAAGGGCAAGGCGGCGGCGCGCTCAGATGGCGGCGCCTCGGCTCCAGTCAAATTGACCTCCGAGGGCACGCCCAGGCGGAAGGGGCGCTGCCGTAACTACGGGATATATGGCCATTGGGCACAAGACTGCAAACGCCCAAAGAAGGAGAAAAAGAAGGAGCCCAAGCAGGCGGAGGCCGATGTGGCCATCGGCGGCGCGGAACACGGCGCGCTCCTGCTGGCGGAGTGCGACGTTGACGCAGTGCATAGGTCGACCCAGACCGTGCACATGACCGAGAAGGTGATCCCAGTCGACGTTCCAGAGGGCGTGTGCATGTTGGACACTGGTGCCAGTAATCACATGACCGGCACCAGGTCAGCACTATCACAGCTCGACGAAGGGGTACGTGGAACAGTGCGGTTTGGAGATGGCTCATGTGTCGAGATCGAGGGCATTGGCTCCATGGTGATGAAAGACCGTATGAATGGTCACAAGGTAATGACTGATGTTTACTATATTCCAAAATTAAGAAGCAACATAGTAAGCCTTGGTCAGTTAGAAGAAAAGGGTTTTAAAGTGACTCTGGGGGATGGAAAGTTATGTGTGTTTGATCAAGTGGGCACACTGTTAATCTCTGCACCTAGAACTACAAATAGATTGTACCTTGCAAAATTTGGATCGGCACCACCAGTTTGCTTTCTTGCACATTCAGAAGATTTATCATGGCGTTTGCATGCTAGATTTGGGCATTTGAACTTTAAAGCTTTGAATGGTCTCAGTGCAAAGAATTTAGTAGAGGGAATGCCAGTTGTGAAAAGGGTAGAGAAAATCTGTGATGGATGTGTCCTTGGTAAACAGCATAGAAAACCATTTCCACAAATGTCAAGTTATAGGGCAGAAAAGGGGCTAGAACTTGTACATGCAGATCTTTGTGGGCATATAACTCCTAAAACACTAGGGGGTGCATCCTATTTCCTGCTTGTGGTTGATGATTACAGTAGGTATATGTGGGTGGAGATGCTTAAGACAAAGGATCAAGCTCTTGAGTGTTTTAAGAAAATCAAACTCAGAGCTGAGATGGAGTGTAATGGCAAGTTAAAAGCACTGAGAACAGACAGAGGAGGCGAATTTGTGTCAAACTTGTTCTCAATTTTCTGCAATGAGGGTGGGATCAAACATTATACTACTACTCGTTACTCTCCCCAACAGAATGGGGTGGTTGAAAGAAGGAACCAAACAGTAGTTGAAATGGCTAGGTGCTTGTTAAAGGCAATGCAGTCCCATCTGAATTTTGGGGTGAGGCAGTGAACACTGCTATTTATTTGCTGAACAGAGCCCCTACAAAGAGCTTAGACAGCAAGACTCCATTTGAGGTTTGGCATGGAAGAAAACCTAGTGTGAGTCATTTGAAAACTTTTGGTTGTACTGCTAATGTGAAACTGGTTGGTCCACATCTGAACAAACTTTCTGACAGATCAAAGAAAATGGTCTTTATTGGCTATGAGTCAGGAACCAAAGGCTACAGATTCTATGATCCTACTACTAACAGATTGGTAGTGAGTAGGGATGTTGTGTTTGTTGAGAATCAGCCATGGGATTGGACCAATGCAGGTGGCAGCACAGATCAACAATCAGATAGTTTTGTTGTTCACTATGAGACTTCTGACGAAAATCTGACAACAGCTGGAATGGCCGGGGATCTTGAGATTCCTGCTGTAGATGGAGCAGGGCATGATCCAGCTGATCAAGATGGTGTTGTGGATCCTCTTGAAGTGGCACCAAACTCTCCTAACACACCAGAACCAGCTCAAGTTCAAGGTCATGGGTGGGCAACACCACCAAACCAAAATTCTGAAAATTCAGAAGAAGGGCCTGTTAGATTCAGAACAATGGCAGACCTGCTTGATTCAACTGATGTAATCCATGATTTTGAGGATAGTGGTGTGTTTATGTTAGCAGCAGATGAACCAACTAATATTGATCAAGCTCTAGAAGAAAGGTGCTGGAAAGAAGCAATGGAAGCTGAAATGCAGTCCATCATCCAGAACAAAACATGGGTGATGATAGAACTACCAAAAGATCACAAAGCTATAGGCTTGAAATGGGTGTTTAAGGTCAAGAGAGATCCTGCTGGCAACATTGTGAAACACAAGGCAAGGTTGGTGGCAAAGGGCTATGCTCAAATTCAGGGGGTGGATTATGATGAAGTGTTTGCTCCTGTGGCAAGACTGGAGACAGTGAGATTGTTACTAGCTCTAGCAGCTCAAGGGGAGTGGCAAGTACATCACATGGATGTAAAATCTACCTTCTTGAATGGAGATCTTCATGAGGAAGTTTATGTGCAACAACCACCTGGGTTCTCTGATCCAAAATCACAGGGCAAAGTTCTCAGACTAAGAAAAGCTTTGTATGGCCTCAAGCAGGCTCCAAGGGCCTGGAATGCTAGACTTGATCAAGAACTATATAAGTTGGGCTTCAAGAGAAGTGTTGAAGAAAATGCTGTCTACAGGAGAGGTTCAGGCAGGTCACTTTTGCCTGTGGGTGTTTATGTAGATGATTTGATCATCTGTGGGCCAGATAGCAATGCAATTGCTACATTCAAGCAACAGATGAAGAAAATCTTCAACATGAGTGACTTAGGCCTGCTAAGTTATTACCTTGGTATGGAAGTGCAACAAAAACCAGGTGAAATTACAATATGTCAGAGTGCATATGCTGAGAAAATTGTTGAAATGGCTGGTATGAAGGGTTGTAACCCAGTTGACACACCTATGGAACAACATATCAAGCTGTTGCCTGGCAAGCCTGAGCTAGTGGCAAATGCAACCAAATATAGAAGCATTGTTGGCAGTCTCAGATACTTGGTGAATTCAAGACCAGACCTTGCTTTCTCTGTTGGGATGGTTAGTAGGTTTATGGAGACACCAAATGCAGAACATTGGGGAGCCATCAAACGAATTATCAGATATGTTGCAGGCACCACTGGGCTTGGCTGCAAGTTTGTCAAAGGGGCATGTTCAGGGCTAGTTGGCTTCACTGACAGTGATCATGCAGGAGATTTAGAGAAAAGAAAGAGCACTACTGGTGTGGTGTTCTTCCTTGATGGAAATCTTGTCACTTGGAGTTCACAAAAGCAAAGGGTGGTGTCACTGTCATCCTGTGAATCCGAATACATTGCTGCTGCAACAGGAGCTTGTCAGGGAGTGTGGTTGAGCAGATTATTAGCTGATCTAATTCATTCAGAAGTGAAGAAGTTCAAGCTGTTCATTGATAGCAAGTCTGCTCAAGAGTTAAGCAAAAACCCGGTGTACCATGAAAGAACCAAGCATATTGACACTCGGTACCACTATATCAGAGAATGTGTCTCTGAAGGTGCAGTGGAAGTAAAGCATGTCAGTACTGACGAACAGCTTGCCGACATACTGACAAAACCCCTTGGAAGGATCAGGTTTGCAGAGATGAGGAGGCAGCTGGGAGTCGTCAGGGTTTGACAAGATTAAGGGGGTGATTTGTTGTAGATTTCATCTTGTAATCTTGTCAAGTATTGTATCGGCATGTAGTTGCATTGGTAGATGTTTCCATTCAGTTGTAAACATGTTTTGTAATGCGTAGAATCACGGCTAAGGTGGAGACTGCCCACCTTGGGCCGTGACCGCGACTTAGGCCCAGCTCCCGCCATGGTGCATGCGCCGTGCATGTCACACGGGTGTCCGAAAATAACGGTGCACCGTGTAGCTGCGCATCGTGGTGGGGGAAGCGGATCGGGGCCGGTTAAAGACTGAACAATGCATCGAACACAAGCTGCGCCAGTTGCAGTGAATATCGCAATCTCTCTCATGTGCTCTCGCTTCGTCTCTCTCTCGCGTTCGCGGTTAGGGTTCTAGTCGCCGCGGTCACCACCTGCCGGTGCCGCGCCGTCGCCGAGTCTCCTCTCCGGAGATCGGTTCCAACATTCTGATTTCATCTTGTAATCTTGTCAAGTATTGTATCGGCATGTAGTTGCATTGGTAGATGTTTCCATTCAGTTGTAAACATGTTTTGTAACGCGTAGAATCGCGGCTAAGGTGGAGACTGCCCACCTTGGGCCGTGACCGCGACTTAGGCCCAGCTCCCGCCATGGTGCGTGCGCCGTGCATGTCACACGGGTGTCCGAAAATAACGGCGCACCGTGTAGCTGCGCGTCGTGGCGGGGGAAGCGAATCGGGGCCGGTTAAAGACTGAACAATGCATCGAACACAAGCTGCGCCAGTTGCAGTGAATATCGCAATCTCTCTCGTGTGCTCTCGCTTCGTCTCTCTCTTGCGTTCGCGGTTAGGGTTCTAGTCGCCGCGGTCACCACCTGCCGGTGCCGCGCCATCGCCGAGTCTCCTCGCCGGAGATCGGTTCCAACACTGCCGAGGCTGACGAGGCCGGAGCCCGAGCCGTACCCGCCCTTCGACATGGTGGTGCAGCCGAAGCCGATGCCTGGCACTGCGTCGCTGCCGAGCGTGAAGGTCTCGCTCCCCAGGTAACCTTGTGTGTAGTGGTGCGGATCACTGGCAAGGCCGTACGAGTACTTGTAGTCGCACTCGGCGCCACCGGCGCTGCACTGGGATGTCAGGTCGCTGCAGAGGCCGCTGGAGCACGGCAGCTTGGAGAAAGACGACGACTTGTTTGGGTAGTAGGAAGGGGAGCCTTGTGGCACGCACCCCTTGCACGCGTCGCACTTGGCCCAGATGAGGTCGCTGCCGGTGTCCGCGAGGGCCGACAGCTGCTGCGGTGGCGTGCCGATGGACAAGGTCATGTCGTACGCGCCGCCACCGCTGTCAAGCTGGAGCGGGGTCTGCGCAGTCCCTGATGAGGCAGCGTCAAGCCGGGCGGCAAGGCATGGACAGCCGCTCGTGGGACTTGTGCGCGACCCGCGTTAAGTTGATGGCCGGCTCGGTGCGGGTCATGGTGGCACGGAAGCCTCGTCGTTCCGAGAAGGCCGGAGGAGCGGCGAGGACGAAGGTGATCACAACAACGAGCATGGATGACCTTGCCGCCATTTCTTGACTTTGAAGGATTTGTTACATGCTGTAATGCGGTCTGGGCACGAGTAATATATACGAAGTCCACGACGCCTATTGTGCGCAATTGTGCTTTACAAAAAAAAAAAAAAAAGATCGTACGCCAAGCGTGTTACCCACGGCATTTTGAAAACGAGATATAGGGGCCGTAGGGATGGATGCGTGACCATGAATCTAGATTCTAGATGTCCGATTTTAAATTTCTGTGTCAGAATGTATTTGTGTGGCAGATAGGGCTTATTTGGGTTAATGTCCGGGCAGAGTTGCTGTACATACAAGGTTGATATTTGCCTTTATGTGTCAAGCTGTGATGACTGATTGTCAGGAGAGATGATCAATGTTTTGATTGAGTTTAGAGACTAACCATTGTGTGAGTGCGTGTGTCACATGTCTTTTGGCTGTGTTGGTGTGGAGCACAAAGACGGTTGATGGACATGGAGAAGGTCAAGTTAAGACATGCCGTGACGATAGACTGGGAATGGTGAAGGACGGGTGTGAGGCTTGGACCGAGAGACCAAGATGGCCGAAAGACTAACGTGGGTGGCCGACACTTGTCGACATCGACGAGTAAGAGTACTTGCGGAGGAGTATTATCCATGTTGACCAAGTTAAGATCGTGGAGGAGGTGTAGCGGATACGCTTCTATAGGCAGTTCTATAGCCCTCAAAACCACCGGTGGATAGTTTTTTGGGTTTAGGCCTCTAAACCCGGTTGGAATTCTTGCAGGAACGGGAGGAGGTATGTGGTGTCATCGCGAAGCTTGCGCCGAGGCGAATCAAAGTCATGAAGAGCCCGTGGCCGCCAGATGATTGGATCTCAAGTTGGACATTTTGCCCATAGCGTTAAACCAGCCCCTCCAACTTTAGGCTTTCTAGTCTTTAGTTTTCAGCTTTCTAGTCTAGAGTCTTGAGAGAGATCTGTAGATCAGAGCCTGAGTCCCTATGTCTGTGTAAACGTTCATCTGTATAACTTAACAAAGAGCCTGACCTTAAGTGTGAAATCAAGCAATCTTTCATATGAAATTCGTGGTAAGTTCTTGTGTTGAAATCGATTTGGTTTTTCACTTTCCCTACCCCTTCTCTTCTCCGCTTTGATGGATTTTGAGTTCCTGCGATTTTGGCAATGTTTTGAGTGGATGGATTCGTGACAGGACCACTAAGGAACATCTATGCCCAATGGTTTGGGCATATTTCTCAAGAGCACATAGATCCACCACTTGGAAGAAAATTTGACAAAACACCCTAGTTTGAGAGCAAGTTGGGCTAGTGTTCAGGCTTTGATCTTTTGGAGCTCAAATTTTGTGGACACCTTTGTAACTCCCTGGAGAAGGTGTGTATAAACTTTCAGCTCAATCGGAGTCACCTTGGTCGAGTTTTGCCTTTTTCGCCTTTCATTCGGGCTGTTGGAAACCATCAGTGCGGAACCTCCGCACCGACCTCTGCACGCACAAAGTGCTGAACCTCCACACTCTAGGCTGAAAACTTGGTTTTCTGGGTATTCAAGGTGCTCTGGTTGTCTGTTTTTCAATCCACTTCTTCCATCGGGTTTCTGAGTTGCCCAAGAAGCTTTAACTGAGATGGTTTTGCCAACCACCTCCGCCGAGAGGTCATGTTTAATCGTGCCTTAATGGAGGCTGTTGGCCACCCGCCTCGGTTAATCAAATAAAAAAGAAAGAAAGCCCGTGGACAAGCCCAGCGAGCCCGTCGAGCCGGTCCACGCGCCGTCGCTCTGCTCAACGGATTTCAACCACGGTCACGTCCGCTCTCTGGAGGAGGACACTTGCTCGCTAGATTCGGCCGCTGCTCGCAAGATCTCGCCCCCCGATCGCCGGATCCGGCCGCCGCTCATCGGATCCGGCCACCGCTCGCTAGATCTAGCTGCCTGCTCGCCATGCGCCGTTGGAGGGAGAGAGGAGAGAGGGCGCGACGGAGCTGATGCAGTGTCACACCCAATTTTAAGGATAAAATTGAATGCACTAAACTCATGTGTGCCCAGGGATCAGTCACACACATAAGTTGACAAATTATAAAAAGTATCATCACGGTGTATCTTACATAACGAATAATAGCATCACATTGACTTACATAACACAAATGGAAGATAAAAGGATAACTCTCTCGTGGAACTCCATCACGGGGACGGGTCGATTGGTTGACCACAAGCCTAATAATCCTCGTGAAACTCCTTATATCCGTTGTCATCTGTTACCCATCCGGGATTTTTATCCAAATATTGAAAATTAAACAAGCGTAAAGTCGTCCCGTACTTAACAAGATAACATGGGGTTCATGAGGCTCAAAAGGATGACACTTGGTTTCTCGCAGTTAGCACTTTTAGTAGATTCAAGATTTTATCCTCATCTATTTTTAAGTTATGCTTAAGCTCCCTTTTAAACCCACGTGATCATATTTCCGATCCAATAGAGCCATGTGACATCATCATAATCATCTCGTATAAACAACATTATAAGTAGCCATCTATTCTGTGAGTTTTCCGGGCCGCTCAGTATCGTGAGCACGGGCTGTTATAACAGTTTGTTACCCTCTGCAGAGGTGGTGCACATTCACCATGAAGTCGTGATCCCCATATGCCCGGGTTAATTACTCCCATGTCACTTCCAAGGTGAGCGGGCGGGTACACTATGAAGCCATTTCATAGGTTTCCCTAACAAGTTAGGGCCGCTAGGTTTCCTTGGCGGCGCGATGTAGGAACCCCCTTTCCTATGGCACATATCCATCAGCGGCTATACACATAGGAACAGGCGGGTCCTATACCCAACGTGGCAAGCCCCATTTGCGCCATAAAGGTAACCTCTAACAAGCTAGAAAAGGTCCTATTATTGAGCTAAAGTCGAGCCATATGACCCTCACGGTTGCACTTTGTCACCCCCAACTTTTTGCCGACAGATAAGTCCTTATGGAGGACCGAGAGCAACATGAACAAAGGTCATTTGCACTTTAAGCCCTATGGAACAGTTGTTATAAATCATGTTACTCACTTTGTTCCATAGTATCATTCATCAACATGTATGTCAAGTTCAGTTAGAGCACTAGCAATCTACCCATATGCATTTAACCCATAGGAGACAAGGAACAGGATAAACAATCACTAGGATATCCTTACGGGTATCAAAATTAGACACATGCAAATGAGTAATTGATTAAGGTGAATAGGACATCAAGGAAGGCCCATGCTATACTTGCCTTGGTTCACAAACTCGTGTTGGTCCTGCTGGTCGTCGAAGAGTTCTTGGTCTCCCACGTTTTCCTCTCACCGTCGAACGCGATCAACACAAAGAACATACAACATTCCAAAAGCATTCATGCAAAGCAAACAATCCTATAATTAGAACAGTACACCAACAGTATAGAAACAAGATGAAATGTTTATAAAAAGAATCTGTGTCTCGCTATGATCACGTCAACGCGAAGTTCACGAAAAACGGAGCTAAAACGCGAAAGTTATGATTAAAACGGGTTTTCCAGTAGCCCTATATTTAATTAATTCTAATCATGAAATTAAAAAGTTCCAAACTTGACTAACAGTAGCTCCAACATGTAGCTTATGAAATTACGAAGCTAACGCGATTTGAATGGATCAATTC